GGGGAGGGAGGTAAGAGAAGAGAGGGGACAGGCGCTCTTCACAATAGCGCAGCGCCGCTTCACGCCCTCGCAAATACACGACAATTGATTTTGACAGGAAGTGAACTTTTGGTTCAGAATCCCATGATGAAAAACTGCGCGCACGCTATACCACTCAATGCAAGATGTGTTATTGAATGCTGATAGCGTGTCAATAGTGACAAAAAAGAAGTCCAGAATGGTGCGGATCGGTGCATGCACCCGGCGGAGGGGAAAAGGCGGCAGGGGGCGTAGTGTGCACACGCTAAGCAGTCACGCGTCGTATCGTCTGACCCCTGTGACTCACAAACGCCAAGCACGGCGGCCACCCCACACTGCCGCACAGAGTCTCCCAGGACCAGCACGATGCAGGATGGCGACGACGCCGTGGGTCAGCCGGATGGCGCCGCTCCTGACAGCCCTCGTGCTCTGCGCGTCCGCGGCCCGGAGGATCACCGACGGCACCCACCTCGAGCTGCGGCCCAGGTACATCCGGCCGTGCGCGGATGATCGCAACAACGCCGTCAGGTCGGTGCAGGTGTCGTTCGAGATGCGCGGCCGAACCACCGTCGTCTTCAACGTCAACGGCAGCGTCGCTCGGTCGGTGGACAGGTGGTCCAAGGGCACCGCGGCGTTCGAGAAGTGCGACCAGGCCGGGTCCTCCGCCACGTGCACGACCTACAAGGAGATCGAGTCTAACGACATCTGCGGCTACATGCTGAACCCCGCCATGCCCTGGGCCAGGGTCGTCGACAGCGTGCACCCCAAGCTGAGCTGCCCCATCACCGAGGTAAAGATCGTTGCGGTAAGAGTCTGCTTTTCATGGAGTTTTTAAAAACCTTTCGCGGTGTTGTTTTCTTTTTTCTGAAAGGGCACGTACACTCTGTCTAACGGCACGCTGTCCATGGACCTGATCAACTCCCTGAGTAGCGCGCTCGCGCTCCGTCTAGAGGGCTACATCTGGCGCGCCCGTACCCGCTCCGTGGACTCGCACGGGGACACGCACCTCTGCATCGACAGCGCCGGCGAGTTCTTTCGAGTGCGGAACCGACCAAAGAAGGCCGCTGGTGACAATACAAAAGGAGCACGTCGACCGTTTGAAAATGTGCACGCAGATTATAACGAAAATGCGAGGTGATGTGTCTCCTCGTTTATTTGCCAGTTGTATGTTTCTGAGCAGCTGACACCTCATTGCACTTGTTTGCAAAACCCATATATCCGACGTCCTCCAGAGGTAGGTGTGGGGCTAGCGGAGCTCCGTGTTCCACGATTGTGGTTGAAGCGATGCCTCTGTCGTGTTCACCGCTATCGCCAGGGGTTGCGTCGCAGCGAAAACGTATGAGGCATTTCCTCGGCGGCTTCGATCCCTCGTCAGTGAGAGGGCAGCCAAAAACAACGAGGAGGTTAAACTGCAATACTTCTGGCTGGGAAACAATGAAATTTTTAGAATGACGCAAGATGTAGTGGACGAGCCGCTCTTTATCCCGGTTATACTGTACCGGAATGCAGGCGTGAGAGCGGGCTGCATACTCGCACGGCGCCGTAACAGGCGCATCGGTGAGTCGCGGTAGGCAAGCCCGCCCTTGCATCCGGTGCAGAATAACCGGGAATAGAGAACGACGCTGACGGAACAACCTGCATGTTGGATGCCTCCGGGTCACGGGTCCTGACGGTTCCATATGCGACCCAATAACCATTATTGATATACTCGCGAACAGCGCGCGTTGTAGAATGCTGGATACAGCAGTCCTCATTTGGTGGTTCTGGGGGGCTTACGTGGTTCCAAAGCGCATATGGACAACGTGGGCGTGGGCAATGTGCCCGCCCCACAGCAGAGCCCTGCTACTCTGGTGTAGTGGAGAGGAAGGAAGAGTTGGGAATAGGAAAACGGGGGTGCATGACAGGACAGGGAAGGGCAAGCTGATATTTTAGCTAGACGTTATCTAATCTAGACTTCTGCGATGCACACCGCGCCAAACGCCATCACTGGATGCATGAGGTATGAATGCCAATGTCGTGTCACCGGCATCGGAAATGAAAAATTAGTGCAGCCGCGAGAAAAGAGTTGGGCGCGGACTCACACCCGGACGGACAGGGGGCGGGTGGGGACGCCGCCGTGTGCACGCCAAGCTTTACCGATTATTTCACGATTTTGCGAGCCATGTCCGCTAATCACGGTGGCCACCGGCCAGAGTCGCCGAGGCCCAGAGCGCGATGCAGAATGGCGACGCCGCCGCCGTGGGTCAGCGGGCTGGTGCTGCTGCTCGCACTGGCGGCCGTCGTCCTGGGCGCGGCCGCGGCCAAGAGACTGCTCATCGACAGCACGCACCTCGAGCTGCGACCCAAGTTCATCCGGCCGTGCGAGGGCGAGCCGGACAACGCCCTGCAGGCGATAGACGTGACCTACGAGATGCGGGGCCGCACCACCGTCGTCTTCAACCTGGACATCAACATGAGCCGGACGGCGGACAAGTGGACCAAGGGCTTCACGGTGATCGAGAGGTGCGACGAGACCGTGTCCGAGGCCACGTGCAAAGTCTACAGGGTGATCGAGACTAACGACGTCTGCGGCTATTTCATGAACCCCACCATGCCGTGGGTCAAGTTGATCGAGAGCGTGCAACCCAAGTTGAGCTGCCCCATCCCCAAGGTAAGTCATTACCGTCGTGGAAAGATAGTGGTTAACGTCGATTATAAAAACATGTTGGTGTGCTGCAGGGCACGTACAGGGTGTCCAACGGCACGCTGGCCATAGACTTGCTCAGCGCCGTGAGCGGCCCGCTCCGTCTGGAGGGCTACGTGTGGCGCGCCCGACCCCATTGTGTCGACGACCAGGGGAGCACACCGTTCTGCTTGGACACTGCCGGGGAGTTGTTTCGGGTGCGGAACCATCCGAAAGACACAATTTTGGGGTGACGGGTGACAAGGCCTGTACCCGCGGGTGAGACAAAACAAAAACAAAACAATCATGGATTTTGAGGAAGTACAAGTAAAATACAAGGTGGTCCATAGACCCCTGCCTTTACTTTGCTTATACTGACCACATGCAGGCGTGCGGGCGGGCTTGCCTACAGGCATGTATACACCCCGTGCGAGTATGTAACCCGCCCGCACGCCTGCATGCGGTACAGTATAAGTAAAATAAAGGAAAGGGTCTATCTACCACCCATATGACCACCCTGTATCCTGGTTCAGCGAGGGGGTGTCTCTTCATTTCTTTGGCCGTTTGGCGGTGTGGGTGGTGGAGCGTCGAACTCCGGCTCAAGCTACAAGATGGAAATAAACTTGGCTACCTTTCTTATCATATATTTGCAATATTTTTCCTGAAAATGCTAAAAACAAAATTCATTTAAAATTCAGTCACTTTATCCTTTATGTGGTTTACACAGAATTGGCTCGATATTTTGAGAAATTTTGCACCATGAAATTTGTAGGCAATTGATTTATGAAGAAAACCATATCCTCCTCACGACAATCTCCGACCTTTACGGTCCGGTTACACGAAGTCCGATCTGTGGCGTTCCGGATGCACAAAGTTCTGCAGCGATCCGGTTTACTTCCCTGTTTAACACAGTAGCAGCTACAACCTATAACCGATACGGCGAGGTGGCTTCACCCGATCCGCCTGCATACAAAAGACGAAGTCAAATCACGACGATACGCGGCGCCGAGGAAGACTAGCTCTGAAATGCGACTTTTTTTAGTTTCAATAGAAGGTATCGAGTCGTAGTTCCAGATAAAAAGAGCGCGCATGCCCCACCTGTTAAGCGGATTGCGTGTTAACTGGCACCCGAAAAAAATACGACAGCCGCGAGAAAAATTGTGGTGGGACGGGCCGATACCCGAAGGGGGTGGGGGCGGGGGCGCCGGGCGCACACGCTAAGCTCTGTCGACCACGGCCAGACTTGCGAGCCGGCCACAGCGGCCATCGGCCAGAGTCGCCGGGCCCCCAACACGATGCAGAATGGCCACTCCGCGACTCCGCGGACTGGTGCCGCTGCTGGCGGTCCTCGCTCTTTGCGTGGTCGCCGCCAGGAAGCGCACCGATGGCACCCACCTCGAGCTGCGGCCCAGGTACATCCGGCCGTGCGCGGGTGATCGCAACAACGCCGTCAGGTCGGTGCACGTGGCCTTCGAGATGCGCGGCCGCACCAGCGTCGTCTTCAACGTCAACGGCAGCATCGCTCGGTCGGTGGACAGTTGGTCCAAGGGCATTGCGGCGGTCGAGAAGTGTGACCAGGCCGCGTCCTCCGCCACGTGCACTACCTACAAGGAGATCGTGTCTAACGACGTCTGCGGCTCTATGCTCAACCCAATCATGCCCTGGGCCAGCGTCATCGACAGCGTGCAACCCAAGCTGAGCTGCCCCATCACCGAGGTTAATATCGTTGCGGTAAGAGTCTGCTTTTCATGGAGTTTTTAAAAACCTTTAGGTATGTTTTTTTCTCTTTTCTGAAAGGGCACGTACACTCTGTCTAACGGCACGCTGTCCATGGATCTCATCAACTCCCTGAGTAGCGTGCTCCGCCTAGAGGGCTACATCTGGCGCGCCCATACCCGTACCGTGGACTCGCGCGGGGACACGCACCTCTGCGTCGACAGCGCCGGCGAGTTCTTTCGCGTGAGGAACCGACCGAAGAAGGCCGCTGGTGTCGAGGCAAAAGGAGCACGTCGACCGTTTGAAAATGTGCACGCAGATTATAGCGAAAATGAGAGGTGACGTGTCTCCTCGTTTATTCGCCAGTTGTATGTTTCTGAGCAGCTGATACCTTTATTCAATTGTTTGCAAAACCCATATATCCGACGTCCTCCACAGGTAGGTGTGGGGGTGGCGGAGCTCCGTGTTCCATCCACGAGTGTGGTTAAACCGATGCCTCTGTCGTGTTCGCCGCTTTCGCCGAGGATAAAGCATTCCGGTGATGCTGAAATGCAGAAGAATGCGGGGAAGAAGAGAACGGAAATCGCTATTCTTCAGCATGGTGACTTCCGTTTTCTTCTTCCTCGCATTCTTCTGCATTTTAGCTTTACCGGAATGCTTTATCCTCGGCGAAAGCGGCGAACACGACAGAGGCATCGGTTTAATGCAGGATGAGGTATGAATGCCAATGTCGTGTCACCGGCATCGGAAATGAAAAATTAGTGCAGCCGCGAGAAAAGAGTGGGCGCGGACTCACACCCGGACGGACAGGGGGCGGGTGGGGACGCCGCCGTGTGCACGACAAGCTTTGCCGATTATTGCACGATTTTGCGAGCCATGTCCGCTAATCACGGTGGCCAGGCGGACAGGGGGCGGCAGGGGTTTCAATCTTTCGAGCTCTCACACACACACACACAAAAAAAATGATTTTGAGAAAATACAATTGTACTTAAGTAAAATGTATAGTGGTAAAGTAAATGCCTCATTTCATTTGTGGAATACAAACTGTTAGCACACCGGTTGTTCAAAAAAATACAAACAAAATTGTTAAGAAAAGTTCAGTCAATTTAAATTTCTAACTTGTTCAAAAATGCAGCTTTTCTTACCTGTATTGGCCTCCATTGGGATGCAAGAGGTATAAATGCGAATGCGGATGGCGTGTCAAACGGCGCCCAAAAAATAAAATTACTAACGGCCGCTAGAAAGGTGTGGTGGACGGGCTGATTATCCTGCGGGTGCGGGGGGTGGGGGCGGCGCGGGCGCACGCTAAGCTCTGCCCACTAGTGCCAGACTTGCGTTGCGAGCCGAGCACGGCGACACCCGGTCAGAGTGGCCGGCCCCGCAGCAGGATGCAGGATGGCGACGACGCCGCGGGTCCGCGGCCTGGTGCCGGTGCTGGCCCCGCTGGCGGCCCTCGTGCTCTGCGCGTCCGCGGCCCGGAGGATCACCGACAGCACGTACCTCGTGCTGCGGCCCAAGTTCGTCCGGCCGTGCGAGGGAGAGCCGGACAACGCCATGAAGTCGGTGGACGTGACGTCCGAAATGCGCGGCCGCACCACCGTCGTCTTCCACGCCAACATGACCTTCACGCGGACGGCGGACAAGTGGCACAAGGGCTACTGCGCCGTCGAGAAGTGCGACCAGACCGTGTCCGCGGCCACGTGCAAGTTCTACCGGCCGATCGAGACCCCCGAGATCTGCAGCTACATGATGAACCCCGCCATGCCCTGGTTCAAGATCGTCGACAGCGTACAACCCAAGCTGAGCTGTCCCATCGCCAAGGTAAACAAATGCGGCATCGTTTAAACACTTTTTAGACCGTCGCCAAGACTGTTTCTACCAGAAAGGAAAAGAACCCCTCCTAACTCCCTACAGGACAGAGCGGTCGCCTGCCGTGTGTAGGTATGTATTTTTCATGACAGTCTCCAAGACTGTTTCTTCTAGACAGAGAAAACGTCCCCTTTCCTCCCCTCGCTTCTCCTCCGTTCTCCTCTAGTTTTATTTAATTCATAACATTTTTGATGTTTGCTGAAGGGCACGTACAAGCTGTCCAACGGCACGGTGTCCATGGACCTGGTCAGCGCCGCGAGCGGCACCCTCCGTCTGGAGGGCCCCATCTGGCGCGGACGCTGCCACATCGTCAACTCGCGGGGGGTCTTGCAGTTCTGCATAGACGCCGCCACCGATTTGTTCCGAGTGCGGAAACGGCCGAAGCCCAGCTAGAATTGATTTTGCGGTTCGACGTTGATGCGAAGCCTGTTACCTCGATCTTGGGGACAAAGATCGATGTCGAACTCAGTGATAATCGATGGCAGTAAATCGATCTCAAACCGAATAATAATATTTTTTTTGTATCTGGTAAAATACCTTATCGAAGTGATAGGCGAGACGGGCGACAACAACGTCCCGCAACAGCGCCGCGAATGTTTGACAAAGACATGCCAAAATATAATGAAGAAACCAGGTCTTCCCTAATTCTTTGCCATACGTTTCATGTGTTTATCAGTTTCTTTCGGTTTGGTTTTAAACCGTTTCCTCACCGGGGCAAAGGGGGGGGGGAGCGTAATGTGGAGCATGCGCTGCAGCTCCGAGTTCCACGAATATGATTAAGGTAATGGAGGGATAGGGTAGGGTGGTGCGAGGGAGGGTAACGGACACACGCCCTACCCAACCCTACGTCAGCGTCATAGCGACTGTAAAATCCGACAGTTTTTACTTTTAAGACTTACTTAGACTTTTACCAGGACGAGTGCACTAGCTCACGACTCTCCAGATGCAAACCGCGCCTACGCCTCCACTGAATGCAAACCCGGATGGCGTGTTACAATGCTGCGACGAAACCTCCGAAGAAAAAAAAACGAAAAAAAACTGCACCAGCCGCGAGAAAAGGTGTGGATGGGCTGACAACCGGAGGGGAAGGGGGGCGGGACGTACACGCTAAGCTCTGTCGACTATTGCCTGACTACTCACGGCCATGTCCACCATGCAAGGCGGCCACCACCGGACACTACTGAACGGACTAGCCCCGGAGCCAGCACGATGCAGCATGGCGATTCCCGGGCTGGTGCCGTTGCTGTTGACCGTCGTCCTCGGTGCGGTGGCGGCCAGGAGGCGCGCCAACAGCACCTACCTCGAGTTCCGGCCCAGGTTCCTGCGGCCGTGCGTGGGCGAGCGCGACAACGCCCTGGTGGCGATGGACGTGACCACCGCGACGTACGAGAAGCGCGGCCGCACCACCGTCGTCTTCAGCGTGAACATGACCTACAGCCGGACGGCGGACCAGTGGTACAAGGGCGTGGGCGTGATCGAGAAGTGCGACCAGATCGTGTCCGCGGCCACGTGCAGGGTCTTCAGGGTGCTCGAGACTAAAGACATCTGCGGCCTGATGATGAACCCCGCCATGCCCTGGTTCAAGATCGTAGAGGACGTGCAACCCAAGCTGAGCTGTCCCATCACCGAGGTAAATCAAAACGCGATGAAAACGTGTTTAGACAGTCCCCAAGACTGTCTCTAATTTTGCTGGTCAAGTCATAGAGAACTTGACGATGTTTGCTCGGAAGGGTTCGTACACGCTGTCCAACGGCAGGATGTCCCTGGACCTGCTCAGCGCCCTGAGCGGCACGCTCCAGCTGGAGGGCCCCGTGTGGCGGCTCCGCGGCCACATCGTCAACTCGCGGGGGGCCCTGCAGTTCTGCATGGACGCCGCCGGCGAGCTGTTCCGGGTGCGGAAACGACGGAAGAAGACCTCCTCGGAGCAGTGACGGGCGGCGCCGAACGTCCTTATCCGCGCGTGAGGCGAAACGAGAACCTCGCATGTTTGAGAAAGTACAAGCGAAATATAGTGGGGAAGCGAGGTGGCGTCTTAGACATCGCTCAGAAAGTACGACCGTGACGTTTCTCTTTCTCACATTCATTCAGAAAATTATGGGAACTTGGCGCCTGCGAGACTCCGGGTAGGCCACCCAACTAGCACTTTTGCACTGAAGGCAAGATGCTGCGTAGCTAATCAGGCTCAATGAGAGCGGCTTGCAGAGACGAAAATTGGGTGGTTCGTCACGGCGGATGTCGGACTCACTTTCCGGAAGCATCCCCTATTTCTGAGAATCGGTTTTGTGTTTTATGCAGATATATGATCAGTGGTGATCTGGCAGAAGGGCGTAAGTAAAAAAAGGTAGATTTTTTTCGGTCTATTTTTTATAATATATAGTTTTTCCGACGAAATACCTTTAAACAAAAGAGTTGCTTTTTTAAAGACTTTCGCCCTTCAGCCAGATCACCAGTGAATAGAAGGTCCGTTTGGGCGCAATTCGCGTGACGTCTGTTGCACAGTAAAATGCATCGCAAGCTTCGCATGAAATTGACGCAGTGCACAGGCAGTAGCGCGCGCGCAAAATGTGGGGCCGTCGTAGCTGAGCGGTATGCAGGAGGGGCCGGGAGAGGGGTTCGCGGCCAGGTGAGAGAGGGCGGGCATGAGGTGGAGGGGATGTGGCTGTCTCTCGAGCTGATGAGCATGCAGGGGATGGGGGGTGAGCCACGGGCATGGCGCTGCGGTGTGGCAAAGGGGAGGACGGGGGGTGGGAGTGAGGGGTACATTGCGACAAGTGTATCCGCTGGAGGCGGAGGGGGTGGAGCAGGTGGAGGAGGCACAGCATGCACAAGCAGGCTACCCGCATCCGCGCGGCGAGCGGGAGATGGGTTGGGGCTGGTAGGGGTGGCGGGTGCGGGGGGTGCTGCCACAGCCGGGCACCGCGAGACGCCGCCACCGCTGCCGCTGTGGCCTGGTGGCGCCACGCGGGGTCGGCGAATTTATTCATCTCGCCAAAAGTTGTAGTGCGTTTATTGTGCTCGCCGGGCCGAGCGCTTCACCCTATGTAGCCGCGAAGGACGTTCCGTCTAGTGGCTGCCCTGACCTCCTGCGAGCGCGCGGGGAAGGGAGAGGGGGGGGG